TTTTTTTTTTTTTTTTTTTTTTTTTTTTTTCCAACTTGTGGTGTGCTCCCCCCTTTCACACCTGGCCACGCGGAGTGAACACTGCGAAGTGAACGCCACGTCGACAGGCAAAACTACCCCCTCGACGAAGGAGCGGACAAGAAGGAAGCCCGAGCAACTCCGCTAAAGAGGCCGCAATATAAAAGTAGACCTACTGCACACCCCACGTGATGATAACAAACATGGTGATCAAAACGAACGACTCGGGATATTTTCGCATCCTGGGGAACGTGCGAAATTACCCCACGAAGCCCGTCTTCAGGATCGAGGATGTGTTTCCCTCCTGCGCCTGGATCAGCTTCCAGTGGTAAGTCGATGAGCGGCACGTCATCAGTTCAGCAATTCACCGCGTCATCACTTCACCGCGTGACCACCTCACCGCTTAACCGCCGCTCAACCGCAGGGAGCGCACCTTCAAGCCATTCGGATTCATCGAGCTGGTTCATGGCAAGTACCTGGCGTGCCCGCTGATCGTGTTGCTCTACCTGCTCATGTGCAGGTACGGCCCCGCCAAAATGAAAAACAGAAAAGAGTTTGATTTACGCAGAGTGGTCATCTTGTGGAACGTCCTCTTGTCCCTCTTTAACCTGATCGTCGTGGTGAAGCTAACCCCAGTCCTGCTATACACAATATACAAATACACATTCACAGGATTGCTCATCATCCCACCTATATACACCTACGCCTTTGGCACCCCGGGCTTGTGGATCTGCCTCTTCATCGTGTCCAAGTTCCTGGAGCTAGCGGACACTCTCTTTTTAATTTTAAGAAAAAAGAAAATCACGTTACTGCACTGGTTCCATCACTCAACCGTCTTGCTCTACACCTGGGACACATACTATTCTGAAGTCCCTGCAGGATTCGTTTTTATTTTAATTAACGCATTTGTACATACCATTATGTATAGCTATTATGCCATGAGCACTGTGTGGAGGAAGCCATTATCATGGAACATCTTAGTCACCTTGCTTCAGATTATTCAAATGGTCTTGGGCATCCTCCTAACACTTTACTGTCTCCACATAACATACACGTATAAATATAACACCTACTGGGACCTCAGATCGCTTAGAAAAATGCAGAACAAATTTACTTTCCACTATGGCCACTACGTGTCCCGGACGAATATTGCTTACGCCGTGCTTATGTACTTGTCGTACTTGATCCTGTTTGGTAAATACTTTTACCACCGCTACGTGTGCACAGTGCCCAAGCACGTGGGGAAGGAGAAGCCGGCCTGAGCGCAGCGACCGCCACGTTCATCAGCGACTTCACCGCCAGGCTGGTCACGTGGTCGCCACGTCATCGCTACGTCATCGCCACGTTCATCACAATATTTTTTTTTTTTCCCCCTTTTTTGCAAACGGGCAAACCTAAACGCCGACATCAACAGCGGGGTGACAGCTACACCGGCAGGGATGACTTCGCCCCGCGCGCAGTCACAGAGCGAGTGTCGCTTCGTGTTCAAACAATTGACAACATATTTGGTGTAACACAAGTCGATGTGCATCGCTTAACCTGCCACTTGAAATGGGACCAATACTCATCCCAACTAGCAAACAAAAGGGGGAAAAAAAAAAAAAAAAAAAAAAAAAAAAAAAGAAATAACGCAATCGAATGTGAGCTCCACGCAGGGAAAGTGATATACCCGAGAAGGAACAACAAAACGCGCCGTGGGGGAGAGGAGGTCGTATCGACCCATCGCTGTTGCCGCTAATCTGTGGTGCGACGAACAGAAGAAAGCAACCAAGGGAGGAAAATTAGTATCAACAAAAAAGGAAGAGAGCGGGGGCGACGTAACGGGGGGTTAACACTGTTCCATCAGGCAGCAACCCTAACCCACATCCAGCGAAATGTAAAATATGTAGTCGTGCCCGTGGAAGGGTGCCATATATATATGTGTGTTCTTGTCAAGGGTAACCTCCGCCAAGGACCCATTTCTCACACTTCTCTTATGTTAAAATAGCTTTCGTCGTGAGTGCAGCTCTTTTTTTTCCCGACACGCTCCCTGGTGGAATAAATGGGACAGAGTCGTCGCCCGCCTCATTGACGGGACCACCGGTCGATCTTCCATTCAAGTAGGAGAGATAGATGCTGACGTCCGGCGGCACGCCCACGGCGGGGCAGGTGAGCCCGGCCAACGTCGCTAACGCGGTGAACGCTTCTAATCCTAACGCCGCTAACATGGGCAACCGCGACGGCCGGGAGGCCAAGTCCGAGTGGCTGGTGTACCCCCAAGCCAACTACGAATTTAACATTGTTGAAAAATTGAAAAGCAAATTTCTTATGGACACTGACAAAGGCAAGAAGAGAATAAATGCATACAACCAAAATGGAATTCGAAATTCAGCACTAGCCATTATCCTCTGTCACAGGTACGAGTACCCACACCTCCTGTTGCTTCAGCACATAGAAAGTCAGACCTACTACCTTCTAAGTGGTAAGTACAGGTCGTGGGAAAAACCAAGGGAAGTGTTAAAAAGGAAGCTACAAAAATATATAAATCAAATTAGGGATATGCATTTTGCAACTAGCCATTTTAATTCTGAACAGAAGGAACAGGAGGATCCCATCGAGGTTGGAGAGTTCCTTGGGGAATGGTGGAAAACACAATTCAACTCTGTCTACCTTCCTTACTTACCTGCTCATATAACGAGACCGAAGGAATACATACGATTATACCAAGTCACTCTAACCTCGAGATGCATTTTCCATTTGCCTCCAGGATTTACTCTCAAGGCTTTGCCTCTCTTTGACCTAGGCAACTGCGGAGTGGCCATTGGCGGCCTCACCAGCGTCCTCTCACGCTTTAAGCTCCACTGCATGGTGCCGCTCGAGGACGCCCAGGACGAGTAAAAAAAAAAAAAAAGGGAAGAAGAAAAAAAAGGCGGAGACGGCCCTAACCCGATACAAATGATGATAAATACACAAGTGCCTGCGCCCGTCCCATCTATCTTTTTTTAATTTAATTTTTTTTTTTTTTTTTTTCCATCCAACGTGGACGTTGCGGCTGCTGTTGCTGCTTTGCATGCTGTGTATGTCGTGTCTGCTTGAATATACTACCACCAAGTGAGTGTTAAAAAAAAAAAAAAGTTTTTTGTAAAAGCGCCCCTTTCCCTTGAGGAACAACACATAGCAGCGCTGGAAGGAGACAAAAATTGTGCCACGCCAACCATTTTGTCACCTGCACAATGTTTGAGGCAAATCGCCGAGGCACCCTGCGTGAGGGAACACTTCACCCCACGTGAGGGAAAACTGCACCCCCCGTGAGGGCCATAACGCTATCGCGTTGGAAAAAAGACTGCCAAGGCTACCCACCTTTTTTACGCCTTGACAATCTGAACGGCCAGGATGCTGACCCGAGCCCTCGAGCAGGTGCTGTCTTCCCCACCGAGGCAATTGGATGTGAAGACGAGAGACCTGTTCGTCACCTGAAACGTTTCCGTGGCGACAAAGACCTCGTCCCGTCCAAGCTCCACTCCTTTTATAATGGGAATGCCATTCACTTCAACGAATGCCTTCTGCTTCTCAGGGGATGTTTTATTCCCCACTAACAGCTGCACAGAGTAGGTGCCATTTTCGTGCATCTGGAACTTCCAAAAATTGGCTTTGCAATGTAGTGACGAAATACAATTTTGGCTAGCTGAGGCAGGGGGAAATTCAATCCCGCCCGAATAAAGCCCATTGAACGGGGAAGAGTAATCCCCCTTAAACGAAGGCGATTCTCCAACCGCTGCAGAGGGAGAAGTGGCGGAAGGGAAAGTAGCGGAAGGGGAAATTGCCTCCTTCCATCCGTAGCCAAAGCTGCCGTAGTGTGTAAACTCTCTCCCTGAGTCCACTAAAAATTTGTTAGGCACTTCAAAATGGTCGCCAAACTTAAACACTATGGAGTAGCTGCTCGGACCCGCCGCTGCGTGCGACGCGCGTGATGGACCCCCCCCACGGGCGGTGAAGGCACTGGTGAGGGAAAATGAAAAATTGGAGTTGGAGCTACGACTTAGAGACATGATGTTGTTTTGCAGAGTCCCCACGAAATTTGCCTGCCCACCATTTACAACAATTAAAAAACGACAATTCTCCTTTCCCTCGGCCCTGCATACCCCTGCGTGTATCGCCGCCTTACATATGGCTGAGTCTGTAGAATAAATGTCTGACCCATAAATAACTTGTGTATTTAAATTTTCAACACAATGAGGATGGCAAATGGTTAGTATTTTATCCCCCTTCATCAGTGGCATGACATCTGGAAGATTTTCTAACGTACTGTCACACTGAGTAATTTCAATCACTGCGTGATGAGTCAGGTAATCGTCTTCCATCACATTACATGTACTACCAATTAACTCGAAAGAACCCCCTGTATTATCATTTCCTCGTTCAAACATATCTCTCACTTCTATCTTAACAGAGGTAGTTATAATAGGATGTTCTAACCTAGTGGTATTTTGTTCCATGCTGTGTGTGTGAAGAATTGGTATGACCACCTCCTCATCATTATCGAATAGGAGAGACAACTCTGAAGGCCACGACAACATATCGTCTCTAGGTTTAAATTTAAATTTATTAATCTGTACAGGTCTTTTGAAGTAAATCTTTATGTACTCCCCTGTAGAGCCATGGGAGCTTTTCCATATTTGATTCTTCTTATCCCGGTGATATGTGCTGAACCCAGCTAAGCAATTAAATTCAGGAGAGAGACTACTCGATTCAGTACATTCTTTAAAAATTTCATGTTGTGGACTCGACAACACTTCCTCATCCCCAGAACAAATCGTTGGTAATATTTTCCTGCTCTGTGACATAAGAAAAAAAGGAACTCCAACCAGGACGTCAAATTTCAAAACCGCTTCATTCTTCAGAGGAATAAATTTGAGTTTATAAACTTTCCTTTCCTTTGTTACACTTTGAATCAATTCTACATGATCATCTGTGTCATATGCTTTCCATGCCATCCCATCTTTGCCTGGACTCAGAGGAAAAAGTTCTTCTCCCACCGGTGCAGCGATATAAAGATTACAGCCCGTATTCAGCGATAAAGAAAAATTTGAAAAATGGGGTCTAGAATGTGTTTTGAGTAAATGCAACCCGATGTACTTACTAGGTACGCTCCTGATCACCCACTTACTGTCACCCATAAACACTTGCTCCTCTTGCTCAACCACTCCAACACTAAACAAATTTGAATCAACTCCGGAGAATCTCACTGGTGGGACTACATTGTCTTGAAACAGGTATGTACTCTGAATGGGCTGTCTGTCGATTCTGCTCGACTGCCAGAGTAAGGCGAAGGAAGCCGTCGCTCCTGTCGTCGCCGTGGCCTCTACCCCCGCTGCTGCTGTCCCCGCCGCTGCTGCCCCCGCCTCTACTGAGGACGATTCCTTCGTGGGGACGCCATACTCATGCATAAAACTTCCACTCTCGTATTTCAAGTGAGACGAGTGAGACACTTCTAAGATGAATCTGCTTTTCTCTCCTCCGACCAACTCGATCGGCATGGACACCTTAACGACGTCGCTCGGTTCGTCATTCATTTCAACCAGGGTGGACATTCCCCCATGTAAATGAAACAAGGAAGCGTTCACATTGTTATTCGTTTCCCCCCCCATCGCTGCTCCCTGTCTCTTCCCACCTGACTCCGCGAAACCGTGTGAGAGAACGACCTTTCCGTTTAACATAAGTCTCGCGTAACAGTTCGTTTCAAATGTAAAAGTGTACATACCGCTGTGTGGACTCATTAAGTAACCATCATACCTCATGGAGTATCTATAAGGAGAGACCATATCCGATGGGCCCCTATTGGTGTAGGAGAAGTTGATTCTGTTTTCCATTTTACTCTCCACTGGGATCCCTTCTAACAAGGGGTTATTAAAGTAAAAAACTTTAAGTCCATCATGGTTAGGTTCCTTTTCATAGCCTTCAAAATTTTCACAATTCTGTTCTACATCTGTGAACCCATCAGTTTCTCGTTTCATCTCCACTTGTACTTTATTCATTATATTCCTCGTTGCATCTAAATCGGTAGCATTCTCTTGAATCTGTTTTAATGATTCTACACCAGTTTGAACCCACTGATTAATTTTCCCAATTCTCGATGCAACCACTTCATGCTTGCTTCCACACACAGAATCATATTTGTTCAACATGCTGTGTACTCGACTGTTCAACACGTGAAGTCGCTCTTTCAGTCTGTCCGCCTCTACCGACTTGTCCTCGAAAACCTTCTTCGCATGAAGCCTCAGCTTGTTATAGTTCACTGCGTTGGCGCAGTAGTCCCAATCACGGGACCCCTTCCCCAGCAGCTGCACTTCCACGTAACACCATTCTCGTCCTGCGGGTTGGGTGTGTGGGGGTTTTTTCAGTGTTAAAAACAGGGGCAGTTTACAGGTCAAGCGACTACATGCGCATCAGGAGTAGCCCCCCCCCCCCCCTTCATGTGAACGGTGGACAAGAGGGAGCTGTGTTAGCCACACGAACCGCTCGTCCCATCCGGAGAAGTCGCGCTCGTGCAGTCCGTGTACGTCTGGTCGTCGTGCAAGAACGCAGCAGCGCAGAGACGCCCGTCCAGGGTCTTCCTGTGCTGCTGACGAAACTCCGTTATCCTCTCGAGTGAACTCGTGGGATCCCTGCCAAGGACAGAAATGCTCTCCAACACCAAGCAACAAAACAGGGCCAAAGACGTCCTCTTTCCCATTGGTGCCTTCCTTTGGGGGTGAATGGAAAAAGTGAAAAGCAGTGTCCTTTGCACTTGGCTCTTCACAACACGGCAAAAAGACAATCGGCAACGAGGTCTTTTTTTACACGTCCAGTTGCGTTGTCGTTATAGCTCCCCTCTCTTGTGGGACGGTAAACATGCGTCACAAAAAAGAAACAAAAAAAAAAAAAAAAAAAAAAAAAAAAAAAAAAAAAAAAAAAAAAGTCGAAACGAGAGAACCTCAACTTTGTGGCGGTTCGTCGTAGGTCTTTTTTTAAAAATATGCAAAGGCCGTCCTTTTTTTAATAAATCAGTTAGACAAAAATGCAAACTCGATGGAACTTTATTTCTAGAGGAACAACAATGAAGACGCGGTTAATTAAAACGCGAGGCTGACGTTGGAAGGGCCGGTCAGCATGTGTCACTTTGCCAAGCATCCCGCACAGAGCAACTGACACCTTCCCCCCCCCCTGCAGATTTTTTCACTTCCCGGATGGGTGGCAGCTGTACGTACACTCCATCACAGACGGGGAAAAAAAAAAAAATGTACTTCACTTGTGGAAAGTTACTCGCCTTGTCCACCACTAACATCACCACTAACAACACCCGCTAACGTCGTGGTGCACGCATATAGCAGCCCCTCTTCTAATATTTTTGTTCAAATTTTGTTTCTTTAAAAGCTAAGGGAGTATATACTCCCGTCGGGGTTTATACTTCTCAAGCCGCGTCGGCTAGGAAAAAAAAAAAAAAAAAAAAAAAAAAAAAAACACTTCAGACAAGCACATTCCGCGGTATGAAACAACACAGGTGAACATACACACGTAGTAGCCACAGCAGAAAAAAAAAAAAAAAAAAAAAAAAAA